TTTTTTTTTTTGCTGTGAGGCATCTGTGCTTGCCAGAGAGACAGAGAGAAAGAAATCACCTCTTGGGGGGGTGGCCACTCCGCAATCCCTTCTATATTTCCCTCTCGGGATCTTAGGCACATATGTACATGCACCCGGTATGAGTTTTAAGTCGCCAGGTCTGGGATTTGAACCACAGTTAACTAAATGGGAGTCCAGTGATATAATTATTATGCCATCTGCTGGTCCCAATAAAACATTTTTTTTAAAAGAATTACTATCTATTTAATTTTATATGTTCTTATCATTTTTCAATTTGACCAGAGAGAGCAAGGGAAAGTGAGAAAGCAAGCCACCAGGTTTGGGACTCAAACCAATGTCGGTCATACAGGAGTCCAGCACCTTAACAACCATGCCACCTCCTGGCCCCAAATAAAACATTTTTTAACATGTAGTTGAGGGCTTTAATTTTCCTGATTTGGACTAGATGGCCCTCTTCAAAAACATATTTTAAGAGAATGACAGAAAAAATACAATCATATTATAACTAATGAGTGGCTGAATTGAAATTGTGAAAAAGTTAAATATAGACAGCAATGAACAAGATTTAAAAAAAATCCAAGGCAGCATAAATCAGAAATCACCAGTATATTACTTGTATAGGGGCTATCCTTCATTGTTTTGAAAAATGAGCAAAAATTAAAATATCAGAAAATTTAGAACTTTGAATATAAATATGTAAAATCAATTAGAATGATCTATTTGTTAAATATGTACTATGCTAAATCCTTTTATAAAGCAGAAAAATTATTTTAAAAATTAAATAACTCTTATATTTTAATATGGATTTAAATTTAGTACTAGGTATTCAAACACTTCATCAATATTTAATTTTAAAATGTATTGGCTCTGATTAAATTTTAATAATTTCAGGAATTTTTACTTGTTTATTTAAAAGACTAACAATTTCTCGTGATAGAAAAAAAGATATTTCATACACTATTTCAAGGAACATACACTGCAACTGTCTTTTATGGATATAGTTTGGCTCTATCAACTTAAAATATGTAGATTCTTTGATCTAGCAATTCCACTTTCAGAAATGTATTTTAACACCATACTCTCAATAAGGATACATGCACAAGGCAACAGAGTGCCCACGATCTGTTAAAAATATTACACATCCATACTATTTAAGCATACTACTAAGAAAAAAATTGAAATTTATCTATATGGAATGCTATGGAAAATATGTCCACAATAAGAGAGGGCGAAATGACTAGCAGCCAGGGTATGTTACATGGTGCTAAGTATATGAAAACATAAGTATATGCACAGAAAAAATGTCAGAAAGGTTATGTACCAAATTTCAAACAATATTTATCACCCAGTAAAGTGTTAAATAGGGAAAATAGATATCAGAGAAACATAAGACAAAAGAGTTTACTTTTTAAGCTTCTATGTTTAACAATAAAGCCAATAGACTATTGGATCTAAACTAACCACTGCTGGCTTTACATTTATTACCTATACCAAGAATCCAGGCCAAAGCTCACTTCTTGCAGAAAAGTTAGATAAACACTCATCTCTCCTAGCCTCTTTTTATCTGTTAGGACTAGCTGCTATTTTTACCACACTGAAGAGGTCCTGGAAAATAGTTAATCCTTTGTCTACTGGTTCAACTTGAAAGTGATTCCTCAGAAAAACCATCAATCCAAATCATGGCTGACTCCTAAGTTTATTCCCACTGTTGTCTAAGGAACAGGTGTTGTGGTAGTTAAGGCACTGGACTCCAAACCGTGGTCTGAGTCCCAGACCCAGTGGCTTGAAACTGATGCTAGGCGCATGTGCGTGTGTGCCCCAAATCTCAAGAGGAGAATGGAGGAGAGAGGACTGCAGTGTGGCCAATCTCCATAGGTTGTGATTTTTCACTTTCTGTCTCTTTGGTGGTGCAACATGCCCTACAGAGAAAAAAAAAATCTAAAAAAAAAGTAAATGAATGAAAAGTCACAGGAGAGGGTGACTAGGAGAAATATCTTTGGAGGATCATTCCAAAGGAGCAAGGGAAAGTGAGAAAGCAAGCCACCAGGTTTGCTTTCTCAAACTATCTTCCCTTGGGACAGAAATGACAGACGCAGGTGACAATTAACTCATTTCATATGGAACAAGGAAGAATGAGTTTCTAATAGAAACAGATATATTAAAAAAATAACCAAACATAATCTCTAAGCAAAGGGACTTTTAACAAGGAATGTGTACACTTACACCTACACTGTTCTGATTTGTATGCAATTAAGTTTCTTCTCTGGGATGGAGTATACAGAGACCTTGATGAACTCTGCTAAAGAAAATGTCCTGGTGATTAAGATAGCTGGATCCCACATGACCAATCATGTAGCCTGAATCTTGGACCCAGTGGCTTGAAAAACACAGTGGGTGCATGTGCATGTATGCTCAAAATTCTGAAAGGAGAGAGAAGGGATTGTGGCTGACCATTCCCCTGGGTGTGGGGAGAAGGGAGTTCTTTCTCTTCTCCCTCTCTCTCTTACTGGTGAGTACACATACCCTCTAGCAAAAATAAAAAATGAACAAAAGAATAGAACATAAAAAGGAACCAGAGGATAGCATTTGGACTCACATGAGAGTGTCACAGATTTATTGCTTAGGACTTCTCTCTACAGACTGGGCATACATGTGTACCTGTGATCGAGCTGGCTGAGGCTGGAGGTGGGTCATGGCATAAAGACCTTGCTAGGGGTACTTCCTTTTGCTCTCTCTATCTTGGAAGAAATAAATAAATAAATAAACTTAAAAAAAAAAAGTTCATCAAAAAGTCTTAATTCTTGGGACCAGCAGTTAGTTTAATGGCTATGTTGCTGGACTCCCATGTAGTCCACCACGGTTCAAGTCCTGGACCTGGTGGCTTAAACTCACGCCGGGTGCGTGTGCGTTCATGTCCAAGATCCCGAGAGGAGAATGGAGAAGGGATTGCGGCGTGGCCATCCCCTCTGGGGGGTGATTTCTCGCTTTCTGTCTCTATGTATCTCTGTCTGGCGAGCGCACGTGCCCTATAGCAAAAAACCTCTCTCTCAAAAAAAAAAAAAAAAAAAGTCTTAATTTTACTTAACATGAGAAAGGAGAGAAAAATAATTTCATGTGACATCAGAAATACCCTCATAGAGAATTTTCCTGATCATCTCCAGGGCAGATAGGAGTGTTGCTACTAAAATCTGGATAATTAAACCAAGAGGGAATTGAGGCTTGGTATTTTTTGGAGAGATTTTCGCTATAGGGCGTGTGCGATTGCCAGACAGACAGAGAGATAGAAAGTGAGAAATCACCCCCCAGGGGGTATGGCCACGCCGCAATCCCTTCTCCTCTCGGGATCTTGGGCATGCACGCACATGCACCCGGCATGAGTTTTAAGCCACCGGGTCCAGGACGCGAACCGCGGTCGACTATGTGGGAGTCCAGTGACATAGCCATTATGCTAACTGCTGGTCCCCGAGGGTTGGTATTTCAAGATCTGATTATTCAGGATAGTTGTTTACTTGAGACTATAAATTCACAGTCTTCAACTTCAAAGCTAACCTAAAAACCTACGTTTAAATATTAAAGCTATGCTTCTTTAGGGCAGGGCCTATGCCTTATTCACCCTTATCCACCACACCCCCCACCACCACCACTGTTTACACAGCACACACCATCTGCTAAATAAAAGTGTGCAGAAAGTAAGGAAAGAGATAATTTAAGGTCAGGGACTGAATTGATTTTTTTGTAGTGGAGCTGAAAAGTATCTAAGATACATCAGCATAATAATTACTTTAATGATTAAAGGATCAAAGGTTATTTTAAGAAATTTCATATATCTGCCAATATCTGGTTTAGTTATTTCAAACTAATGAGGAAACAACAGTCTTCTATTTTGCTCTCATATGTAGTAATTATAAAGCTGTGACATAGGAGAACTAGTAAAGAAAAAAATGTACATCCAACGCCCAAACTTACAGTATAATATTCTTGGCAAGTGAGAAAGGATATTATACTGTGCATCCAGCCAAAAATGGTGACATCACTGTTCCTAGTATCCTCAATATCTGCACATAAGCCCTAAAGACCTATTTCTAATCTGGATCCACGCCTATCACCTATACCCTCACTTTATATTCAAAATAAGTAAATATTCACCATTAGAGTTACAACCTCTAACCTCATGTGAGTATTCCATTTCCTGTCAGAGGCTATCTTGCTTCTGGACTCTGATTCCAATCCCTCTGTTAACTCAGTGAATCATGCGGCTCTGTTAATTATCTTTTCATCTTAAATCTATCTCAACCTTTCTTTAACATATCCTTAAGTCTGTCCCACAATTCTTTTATTCTCCTTTGTCTTACTAATATCGAGTTAAAGGATACTGAATGTACAATGACTGGTACAAGGATGAGTCTCAGACCCAGTGGTTTGAAAAACATTCAGGGTGCATGTACATGCATTCCCAAAATTCTTATAGGAGAGAGAGATGGAGAAAGGACTGTGGATGACCATTCCCTGGTGGGGCTGAAAATGCGGTCCTTTCTCTTCTCCCTCTCTGGTGAGTGCACATGCCCTCTTGTGAAAAGCTAACCCAACAGCACTGTCTTAATACTGAAGGTATGCTTCTTTAAGACACTTGGACATTCAGTCCTCACTGAATACTGTTTAACGTACTATAGTTTTCGCTATCTACATTCTTTAACTATATATTCACTATGTTGATCCAAGACTTTTAATTCTTCTGCCCTATCTCCAACTTCATTTTGGAGCTAAGAGTCTTCCAAGATGCAAATTTCCCATATAGACCCAATTATACTCTCACAGTTTCATATTCATAAAACACACAAATACACGAATACTATGCTTTATGCCAAATAAGAAGGAAAAATGGAACTCACAAAGAAAAGTTTTATATTATACATGCAAATTAAAATATTAACTCTTAAAAATCATATATATCTCAAATAAAATTACATATGTTATATATAGAGGGATTTTAATTAATTATTATTTGCTACAGGGCATATGCACTAGCTCGAAACACATAGAGACATAGGGAGAGAGAAAATGAGAAAGCATTTCCTAGGTGGACGGCCATGCTGCAATACCTTTTTCTCCACCCTCTTGGGATTTTCTAGGCAAACAAATGCACGGTAGATTTGCAATACAAATACTAATAAAGAATATATTTTTCTCTCTTTGTTTTGAGAAGTTTTTGCTATAGGGCGCGTGCACTCTCCAGAAAGAGAGATAGAAAGTGAGAAATCACCCCCCGGGGACATGGTCATGCTGCAATCCCTTCTCTTCCATCTCCTCTCAGGATCTTGGGCACACATGCACACATGTCCGTCATGAGTTTAAGCCACCAGGTCCGGGACTCAAACTGTGGTCGACTACATGGGAGTCCAGTAACACTGCCATTATGCCAACTGCTGATCCCTAAGGAATGTATTTTAAAACCATGTTTCTCAAGCTACCAGGTCTGGAACTTGAACTGAGCAGTCAGCTATGTGGGATATAGCCACCTCAACCAGCACACCACCTGCTGGCCGGAATACAGGAAGAAGTTATATGACTTCCCCTAGGGATACATTTTCTATTAACAGAGATAAATTATGTAGTCATGTAAATTAGTCAGTTGAAAAGATCTGCAAGTATCTTGAAGTCAGATAAAACTGAAGAATCAAATGCTAACAAATATAAACATCCTACCAAACTGCTGAGCCATCAACATCTTTGCCATTATTTAGCCAAAGCATTTTAATAAAATTTGTATTATTTAAAATGTAAGCTAGGAGAAATCAATTTACATATAATTCTAGAAGTGCTTAGAATCAAGTTGCCAGTACCCAAAGAACATATCAAAAGTTTACAACAATGACCCCCTCACTATCTAAGAGAAATGAAAGTCAAAGATATTCCAATCTAATTAAAAATTATTTTTTCCACTTATAAAAATTATTACTAATGAAAGAAAAACATACTCACCTCTTCAATTAACTTTTCATTTGGTGATGATGTACAAAGACAAACAAGGTAAGTTTGCTTAAAACTACCTTTTGTACCAATCTCTGGATGGTCAGAACATAGCTTTGCTAGAGCAGTTGCTTGACTTAACTGATTTGTTTTGATCAGATGTTTAATTCTCATATCCAACAAGATGGGACCCTCAAAAGTTAAAAATTCATTCACTTAAAAAAACAAGACATAATAGATTAGTAACATTTGGTAATGATTCATTTGCAATACAAATACTATTAAGGAATATTTTTAAAAAAACACAAAATCTAAAACTATTTTTCTTGCAATTTTCTAATTCAGCCAATAAGGCTATCACAAAATATCAACCTTAGCAGCAAGAAGAGATTATATTCATAATTTTTAAAAGTGGCATTAAATATTTTTGCCTCAATGGAGTACTATTACAATGAGTTGAATAAACTTCCTGATGATAAAAATAACTTCATAATAAATTCTAATAGTCAGGGTTACTAAAATTATACTAAATTCTTTCCCCATAATAGTTATCTGTGAATGCCAGGGATTAGCATGCCTAAAATTTGTAAGGCTAGGACATGACAAATTTATATGGGTAATCACAAAGGATATCTGGATATTCTAAAACATTCAATTAATATTTTGCTCAATACTGATATATTGGATAGTCAGATAAGTAATATATATTCTATGCAAAAATGTGTCATAACTTTTCTCACAATCCAATATATATATATATATTTTTTTTTTTTTTGGGAGAGATTTTTTGCTATAGGGCTCATCCACTTGCTAGAAAGACAGAGAGACAGAAAACGAGAAATCACCCCCCCAGGGGGGATGGCCATGCCGCAATCCCTTCTCCTCCATTCTCCTCTCGGGATCTTGGGCATGCATACACACACACCTGGTGTGAATTTAAGCTACTGGGTCCAGGACTCAAACCACGGTCGACTACATGGGAGTCCAGCGACATAGCCATTATGGCAACTGCTGATCACAACAATCCAATATTTTTTATTTTACAAAAGTCAAGTCTACTTTTTTAATAGACATTTTAAAATGAATTAAAATATCCCTCCTAAGATGGAGGAAAAATATGTCAAAAGATAAACCCCATAACACTTTAAAAATAACTACTGTTATTTTTAAAACATCAATCAGTATACCTCAACATGTGCTTAATGCCTACTTATACATAATAAATTTCTATTTCATCAATTCTTCATCCTAATGCTTCTTCAATCATCTAACTTGTATTTTCCTGCATTTGTGAAAGAGAATTTAAATTTCAAGAAGAATAAAATTAAACTTTTCCCCAAGTTTTATTTACCAGGAATCAAATAATTTAAAACATTTATTTGGTAATGATTATCCTGAAACCTTGAGAATGCTTTCAGTAACATAATTTAAATTGTCCCATAAAATGAAATAAAACATAACATTATTTTTTGGACTTGTGACAGACTGGAAGATACATCTAGTTAGTGATTTGTGGGTTATAATTTGTAGGAAATAGAGACTATTTTCCTTCTTTGAATATCCTTTGCTCCCCTCCAATTATTTTTAATTAATTTATTTATTAAATCTAATTGTACTCTACTATGAAAAGATTCTTCTATAAGGTATTATGATCCTGATTCCTTCAGTGTTAGAATCATAAATAGATGAGGGTACTTTAAAAAAACTTTATGGATACATGAAATTAAAGTACAGTTAATTTTGGTAGAAAAATATTTTAAATCCATGTTTAATTTTCCATACTATACATTTTCCATGAACTTTCTGAAGACCCTGCATATAACCTATTTAACACAGGATCCCAAATTTCACCCTTTTCTTGTAGTCTGCCTAGACCTCTGCACCTGCTATGCTCCTCTATTCTTTATATTAGACTAAATTTGTAAAAAATATAAACGGAACACAGATTATAAAACTAAACGCACAAGGGGCCAGCAGGTGGCATGGTGGATCAGGGTGCTGGACTCCTACATGGTCGATCATGGTTCAAGTCCTGGTCCTGGCAGCTTGCTTTCTCACTTTCTCTCTCTCTCACATCAGCTAAATAAATAAATAAATAAAAATATAAAGTTGAATAAAATAATTTTTTAAAACAAGCAAACAGAAAAACTAAACACACGATTTTCTTGTACCTCTGACTATACATCTTACTGAGAGATAAAGGGAATTACTTTTTAATAATACATCAATGAACTGGGGCTGCCAGGTGGTGTAGAGGTTAAGGTGCTGGACTTCCACATGGCCAATAACGGATCGAGTCCCAGACATGGCAGCTTGCTTTCAAATTTTCTCTCTGTCTCTGCTCTCTGGTCAAATTAAAATAATAATAATAATAATAAATAAAATTAAACAGTTCTAAAAAAGTAAGTAACACATGAACCTAACAGGGCAATTAAACTGCAAATACCATTTCAGAGTTCAGTTGTTTGCCAAAGCAAAATATGTGAAAATTTTAACTGAAGGGTTTGAGAGAAACAGAGTTAGAATAAATTTCTTCTCGCTATGAATAAGTCAATGGCATTAAAAAAAAAAAAGCTTTAGTTTACTCACACAAAAATTGTCTCTTTGTCCCCCAAAGTCTGGGGATTTTCTCAAACACTTTCATAAAACTTCAAAATCAAAAGGTTCTGATAGATCCTAGTGACGAGATAATTTAAAGGTGGCAAGTATATCTAACAAAAATAAAATGGATGGCATTCTAACAAGATAATCTCAATTAGTCCCTAAAATCTCAAATAGTTGCAAGTTGGAATGACAAACTGTGTCAAATAATTCTGTGCTAAATCAATGTGTAAGAGAATATGTATTAATATTTTAAATTTTAAGACCACAGGTTTAGTTTTTTAATGATGGGAAACCTCTGCCACACTTATGGCAAAACAGACTTCAAAGAGATATAAAATACTAGAGCAGAAGGGACCTTACAGATTATTTTGTCCAACTCCATCATTTGGCAGATGAGTAAACTGAGGCTCACAGAAGACAAGGGACTTCCTTAGGTCACAAAGCCAGTTAATGACAGAACCAGGACTAGAATGTCATCTCCCATCCAGCATTAAACAGTGTAGGACAAGAAAAAAAATTTTTTTTGACTACTACATCTATTTCTAATTAGAATGACATTTTATGGCAGTAAAAGTTATAACATCATGATAACTTTTCTTTCCTTTCTTTCTTTCTTTTTTTTTTTGTTAATTTGCCATTGGTGTGTGTACTCACTGGAGAGAGAGAGATATATACAGAGAGAAAGAAAGTGAGAAAGCATCATCTATGGGAATGATCACACTGAAATTCCTTCCTCCATTTCTCCCTAATTAGCACACAGGCACACACCGTTGGCATGTTTTTTAAGCTACCAGGTCTGTATTTGATCCATGTAGTCAGCATGTGGGGACCAGTCACCTTAACATCATGTCACTGGCTGGCCCTGAAATAACACTCAATTTAAAAGAAAATATTTATACATTCTGAGCTCATCATTCAAAGGGATTAAAAGAAGATGAACCTCTAATACTCAATTCAGTCCCATTGAAAGCTTACTTCTCTCCCTCCTGCCTTTCTATTTCTCCTTCACTGCTTTTCTTTTGCACATTCCTCTGCATCTTTCTCTACTTCTCTCCAATCTAGGACATGCTTTTCCTTTCAGAATTGTAATATTGCAACAAGGCTGTCTATTTTAGTGCTTGCCAGACTTACAAAAAGTTTTGATCTTAATCTTTCAGTAAGCTAGCTAAACACAAGATACTTCAGTTCCTACTCCAGCTTTTCTCTCTCATTACAAAAAAGTATGAACTATATGTAATAGTGTAGTCTTTTATCTTACAGTGTGTAGTTTACTTAATAATGTATAGTCTTCTACATATTTCCTATTTACGGACTTCAAAAGAAAAGCAGGTTTGGCCACATACAAGCCTATCAAGAGTGAATGACATAAAATGGCTATGTAAATGAATGATATTTAGTCCTTACAACTAAGAAAGTAAAAACAGACTTTTCATAAAATGCCACTTTTGCTTTCATAATATGAAAAACTGAAAATATTAGTTCTTAAAGATAGTGAACTTTAAATACATTATAAATTGAATTTTTGTGGTAAAAAATCATAACATAAGTATTAACTGTGTATTATGTACCACAACTTACAATGAGCCCACCAAATTGGGGCCAACTCATTTACTGGGTACATATGTATTCACACACCTAGATTTGGACACAATTGCTGCTGTAGCATCTCTAACTAGCTGTTTCACAGGCATCTCAAACTCAGAATACAGAAATCTCTAAATAAGTCTTCTCCACATCCTATCCATTAGCTGTAGTTGAAGCAGCAACCTACCAGTCTGTCTTTAAAGTGCTCTCTCTCGCTTCATTTATTCACACATCCAACCCATCATGTAGCTGTCACTTCTAAATACCTAACACTCAACTCCATTCACTTTTCTCTACCACCATCACCCTCCTTTCCAGCTGAAAGCACCAATCAGACCACCTTACAGATATCTGTTGGTCTTCTGCATCTATTCTTATCCCTCTCATCACTTCTGTACTAGAACCTGCATACCTTTATTAGTCTTGTTTTTAAACTACATGCCCGATTGTCTTCCATCTGTTTAAAACTTCCCAGTAGCTTTCTCTAGCCTTCAAAGGGTATAAATTCCAAAATTCTCATTCTGGCCGATATAAATCTACATCATGTATTCCTATTAAACAAGTATTGTTTGTCTTTTCTCTTAGAAACAATCCAGCAGTTAGGCAAGAAAAAATAAAAAGACATCTAAATTGGAAAAGAAGTAGTAAAGATGACATGATCTTATATGCAAAACATTCTATAGATTCCACTAAAAAAATTACTAAAACTAGTAATCCTTGCAAAGTTGCAGAATATAAAAATCCACACACAAAGATCAGTAGTATTTCAATAAACAAACCATGTGAAAAGGAAATTAATGAAACAATTCCATTTAATCTAAATAGCCAAAATAACTTTGACAAGGAACAATAAAGTTGAAGATTTCACACTTGCTTTCTCACTTTCTCTCCCATTCTCTCTCTATCTCTCTCTCTCACACACTTTGTCCCCCTCTGGTCAAATTAAGATAAATAAATAAAGTTAAATAAAATAATTTTTAAAAAAGGGTTAATCCTTATTAAAAAACATTTGCAAATCATATCTGAA